CCCCAAAACCCCAAAACCCCAAAACCCCGAGAGATTGGCATATGATTGCTTTTAAAAATAGTAAAATAAAGATGAATTTTTTTAGATCATTGTTCTGCTGCAGCGAAGTTTAGCAAGTCTAAATTGACTCAACTTAATCCGGCTCTAGTATTAAAAAAATTCTTAGCAGGGATAAGAGAACTTTCAAGGGTAAATCCATTCACCATTATAAATGTAGATCAGAGTAATGAAGTAGTCATTTTATGCTACGGCTAGTTATCTGAATTTTTGCATCTTTAAAAAATACCTTAGAAATTCAAAGAAAGGAAAATCATCAATCAATTAGCAGTTGGAGAAGAGCACTGTCTCATATTGTTTAGTGATAAGACTATCAAGGGTGTGGGATCTAATTAATTTGGCTAGCTAGGCCTCATGTAGAAACAGAGAAATTTGATTATTCATGATTTGATTGACATTAAATTATTCGGTTGTGATGAAGATTATTAAGTGAAACAGATTAGTGCTGGCCAGTTTCACAATCTATACTTACTTGAAGATTCTTAAGGAAACTAAAAGATATATGTGAATGGTAAAGTAATCAGACAGTCTTTGGATAATGTTGACCCAGATGAATTATCTGGATTGAGGGAGCAAAAGTTATCTAAGATAAAAGATGAAAATAAAGAAATGAAGATTAGCAAGATATACTCGAGATTTAATACAAATGTATTTTACACTGAAAAGGACCTGTATATATGGGGAGACACACTTACAGGATAGTATCATGAATACCCTACAGCTTTCATGAAATTTGATGGTTAAGTTAATTAAATCGCTATTGGCTAAAAGCATGGATTAATTTTGGTGCAAGATATTGAAACGAATAGGAATATAGTATATGGGTGGGGTGATGGAACTTATGGAGAGTTAGGTCCTACATAAAATGGCTAGACTTGGTTTAAACCAGAGATTATCGAAGAATTTGAAGAATTAAAACCATCTTAGATTGCTGCAGGAGCTAGACATAGTCTTATTTTGGATAGAAAAGGATTGATGTATGTAATAGGTGATAATTCATTCGATTAGTGTTTAAGTTAAGATAGAAGAGCATATGAGGCTAAAGTGATTCAATGCTAAGAAGAAGTAGAGGAGATTTACTCTGGCAGAGATCATAATATAGCTGTGAGCAAGACTGGTATAGCTTACAGCTGGGGAGGATCTCTAATTAACAAAGGATGGGGCAACAATAATTAAATAGAACTTGATTAAATTGAGGATCTTCAAAATAGATATCCTGATATAATCGATCTTTCATACTCAAATACGATTATAATCACTGGGCAAAGCAATATCTGAATATTTTGTTATTATTTAATTATGATTTATTTTGATGAAAGCAGTCACGCGGGGTTTTGGGGTTTTGGGGTTTTGGGG